AAGATGATACTATTTGTAATATAGGGCATTCTTATAAAGGCAAATGCTATTAAAAAAATTTACTTTAGGATTCAAGTAAGATAACACTCTTGCATGAAGGCTTTTACTTTGGGAAGGTTGTTAAATTTAAAAAGAAGGTGATAAAATTTGGATTGATTGGGAAGGATTGTGTCGATTAATCTAGCCTCGCTGCCTTATCTACTAATTATACTACAAGACTTGATATATTGATTAAGATACAGTTGTATTATTTATAAAGATGGAGCTAGTTGTATCGATATTACAGGATACTCTAATGATTAATTTTGAGAGACTAAATCAGATAATAGTAATCCTAGCGTATCCATGATATTGAGATTTGCATTTTTGATTCATACTTCTTTCTTTGCTCACACTCATGTACTGCAATTGTCAAAATTCCTTTGATTGTACTTTTTGCATTTGACAGCCAATTTTTATAGAAGTGTAAAGTATATCATAAATGATGAAAATATATTTAAGAATGATGAAAGTAATATATTTGGAATCTTGAGATTGTGATCTATTTCTTGATGTATAATTGATTAATATTTAAACCATAAATAAGGGTAGTGATTTTTTCCAATTTGATTACCATTTATATCTTTAAAGCAATAAAAACTCTCAACTTTTCATATATTTGCTTTGATGGATCAAATAATTCTATCATTGTGCATCAAAGTTAAATGCTAATAATTATAAAGCAAACATCACTTCATTTATATGAAGTCATGATATAAATATCAATGTGAGTGTTTTCTTATTCTGTTGATAATTATTAAAGATCAATGCATTTTTCAATAATGAAGATTTCATATGTATAGACTTTTGATTCTCATGTGAACATTGTGTATATACCAATAAAAATAATTTATAAAAGTCTAAGTTTAATTAAGCTAATAGCCTGATATCTGTACATGCTAGCCAGAAGTTGTAGTTAATAAATTTAATTTTGAGTTGGCAGACTTGTTTAAGTCTTAAGGATAATTCGTGAGGCAGGAGAATTCTATTTTGGAATCCTTATTCATCATCTTTGATAACAACTAATCTTTTTCTAAAAACTTCTCCTCAATAATTATCAATCTTTCCTACCATAATAAATACTATGATGAAATATTAATAATATTTTCCTTTTGTGCTTGACTCTAAAATAAGATAGCATTGTTAACCCTAACTTTATTAATAACCTGACTTGAGTTCTGTTTAAATTTATTGCTATGTGGCGATTGGGCTATTAATCATCTAAATTATATTAAATTAAACATTCAAGGTAAAAGTATAACAATCTCACACTAGCAGAATAGAAATCTGCTTTTGTGCTAATGTGAGGAATTCTTTCAAGAACAATCCAAAATTTTATTGAATAGCATCTATTCACATAACTCCTTGCCTACATAATTTGTTTAATCCAAAAATAGCAAAGTCCAGATGAAAAAGTTCTATCATTATTATCATATAATATAATTTCTTTTGGATGTCTGGATCACCTAAAAGTGTACTAATCCTAATGCTGCATAGGATATCATAATTAATATGGAGTGCTGCACTATAATTAAAAACACTGCCACAATTTGGAGTAAACTAGAGATTTTATTTTATTTAACAATTATTTTTTATAACTTAATTTTGGAGCTGATATATGATTACCCAAATAGATCACTAGGCTATTTTTTATGTCAAAAGAATTATTTAAATTAATGAAATTGAGTGGTAGATTTAAAATTTTGTTTAATAATTATATCATATTTATTCAATAATTTATATAAAATAAAATCAAGTAAGTGTGTCAGAAGATATCCTGTCCTCTATAATATGTGATATATATATTTAGTTAAAAGTAGCATTGAAATATTAAATTTCATGTAATATATCCATTTCAGTTTTATTTATTTTAGAAATTTATTTAATATTTAATAATTATTTATCTTTGGATGTCCTCTGAATTGCATATTGATATTGGAGGGGCTGGTGTAATGATTGGTTCTATGTTGTGGAAACTGTATGAAGCTGAGCATAATGAAACAACTCAGAAAAATTATATATATCCATATACACTTTTTGCTGATTAGATGACAGAATGATACATTAAGTTTAAAGTAATAAATAGGTACAATTTAAGAAGAACTCATTTTTATCAGCAAAAAATTAAGAGGGTGGATTAACTTATGCTCGAGCTATGTATGGTCCTGGAAGATTGATTCGTGAACAAGTCTTTGATGCTATTCAAAAATAAATAGAAACGATGGATAGGTTAGATGAATTTGTTATTACAAATTCAATAAGTGGAGGAACTGGGTCAGGATTTTTTTCTATGTTATCCGACATGTTGCCTGTTGATTTTGATAAAGTAAGATAAAATGGATTTATAATTTTCCCATCTTCTGAGATGTCGAATAATATTGTTGAAGTTTATAATGCTGGGTTCTCGTTTCGTGTTATCAATTAGAACTTTGACAGCATCACTGTGTTTGATAATTAGTCTATGTACGCGGAGTAC